AACACTTTTGTAGTGGTTCCAAAAAAGTAAAATATTTGAACAATTCTGAGACAAAAATTTACCATGTGCAGATGTCACAGGCTTCACAGGGGGCTTCAGTAACACGACCATGAATGGGGTCCTTCAACTAATTCAAGTTTTCTTTGGAATTGGCCGATTTAAAATCAGAATATGGTGTCACACCATAGGACATGGTTTTCAGAGACAAAATGTCTGAGGATTTCGATATAAGCCAAGAGGAGACTGGTTTTCCTTTGTTAAAGTAAGGAAACTTTGCTTCCTTAACAAATGTTGGTTTTCACGAGATTCACCAGCGCATGCGCAATGCTGAACTCATATGTCTTGCGCCCGGAGCTGCTTCCGTGTACAACTGTTGGCGCAAGCTACATTAAAGTGATTATTAGAGATGCGCCGATTGCAATTTTCTTGGCCGATTCCGATTACCGATTTTTTTGTTAGTGTGATCTGCCGATACCGATTTTTGCCGATTCCGATTTTCTTTCTAAGAACTATAATTGACAGCACATACAAACAAAAATCTACTTTTCTTCAACGCAAAGTTTTATTTTCATAAAAAAAAACACAAGGAAAAAATCTGTAATAAAATAAATAAAAAAAAATTAGCAAACAACAGCACAAATAAATGCAATAGAATAAAGAGAGCTATGAAACTATGAAAGTTTTTCAGGTTAAGTTTTTATTCAGTTAAGAAATACTACATAAATTAAAGTAATCAAATGTAAAATAACACATCCAGTGTTATTTTACATTTGATTACTTTAATTTCTCTAGTCTCCATTGTAAAAATTAAATACAGATTAATGCTTACCATTAAAGTTATCAAATGTATTCAGTCAAGAGCAGAAAATTATTATTATTATTTTTTTTTTATCTTTTGTTCTTTGATTAACATGACAGACAGCAGCAGGAATATTTCGCAGATGTGCGGACGCGCTCTCTCTCGTTTCATTCAAATGCAGCTTGCCGTCTTGCGTCTCAGTTTTTGATTGTATTGAAAATGAAATCAGGAATTTAGTATTAATACTACAATAATTTTGCTGTAGTGATCATATTGTCCTGACGATTGTTTTGTACACTGTTCATAATGGATTTATAAACAGGTAAGATTTTAAAACATTTATCTCAATTCAATATTTCATGTCCCCGTATTTACATATTATTATAGGTAAACAAAAAAATCAGTGTAATAAGTTAACTATGAATATACAATACATTATCCCTTAAATGTCAACCTGATAGTTTGAACGTTCGTTCGTCTTGACTCAAAGCCACTTGCTGCAAACTTTTTTTCACGGAAGCTTTGCGTTAATTACAAGTGACATAACAACATATTTAATCTCTAATCAATATTTTTAGTCCAATTATTTGCCCAGTTAGTTTTGGTACTGAGGTAAAAGTTGCCTTGCATTCGCTATAACAGTGGGTGGTGGTCACGAAAATGACTTTGCAGCTAATTTCTTCTTGCAAGATCAGCAGACAGAGTGACTGTCCTCGATTAAATTGCCTTCAGGACTCTTGTAAAAGCCAAAATACGACCAGACCACCGATTTGACTAACCGTCAGGGCATTTTATCATGATTTATTGTAAAACCGGTAATCGTTATATCCCTACTGTTAGGTGAGATTAATTGTGATTAATTTCAGAAAAAATGTGCGATTAATTAGTTAATTTTTTTAATCGATTGACAGCACTAATTTCAAATTGCCTTCAGGACTCTTGTAAAAGCCAAAATACGACCAGACCACCGATTTGACTAACCGTCAGGGCATTTTATCATGATTTATTGTAAAACCGGTAATCGTTATATCCCTACTGTTAGGTGAGATTAATTGTGATTAATTTCAGAAAAAATGTGCAATTAATTGGTTGTTTTAATCGAATGATAGCACTATATATATACTGTGTGTGTGTGTGTGTGTGTGTGTGTATATGTATATATA